CCCCTACCAGCCTGGGGCCCTGGAATGCGCACTTCTGGACCTCTCTTCTGTAACAGAAAATAACTTCGTACTAAAGACAGCTCTTCCGTCTCCTGCTGATGAGCCAACAGAGTCCTAGTCCTCCTTACAAAACCGCCCAGCTCCTCCACAGCCCTCCCTGGGCCCGCCTCTGCAAGGTGGCTGTCTGCTCCTCCCTTGGTGCATTAGAGATGAGGACACAGCCCTAGACCGGGGGCGTGACTGCTCGAGGTCCACAAGCTGGTCTTACACAAACATCTCACTTGAGATCTGAGTGAAATAATCGCTAAAGTCAACAGCCCAGCTCCCAGAGTGCTGGCTGCACGAGCTGTTCCCAACAGGACGTTCACATGGGGACAGATCGATGAGGCTGGTGACTCTTTGGGGTCCTTGCCCCTTTGTCTGTGGACACCACTGGCCCTGGGTCTGTCTATCCACGTGGCTCGAGGGCCAGCCCTTGGGAACACACTCTGGGCTTCAGGGAGGGTGGGGTGCACTGGTTTCCTCCACGGACGCTCTGGTCAGGCCAAGGCAGCACTGGTGACACGGCTCCCCTCGGGAGAAATCCTGAGTCTATCCTTCAGTCTTTCCTTCAGTCTATCCCCTCCCCCTTCCTCTCCTCCTGTCCGTCTGCATTTCCTGTCCATCTGCATTTCCCATGGCTGGAGCTTTCCTTTGAGACCCTAGGAAGACTGCTCTCTGCCCCAGAGTTGCCTCTGACCCTCAGTGACGCCCCCACCTCCTTGTAGGGATCCTCCTTGGACTGAAGAGGAGTGGCTGAGTCCATCCCAGCCATGTTCCTGCCATGGGCTCTCACAAAGCTCCCAAGCCGCCTCATCCACCTTCCCCTAAGAGCCCACAGCGACGTGTCCCAAAATAAAAGAGACCCGATCTTCAGTGGGGCTCAGCCTCAGGATATCAGTCTGAAGAGGGAACCGGGGCAGTGTCCACAGACGGTTCCTCTCCCCACCGGCCTCAGACGGTGCGCATCACCAGGGAAACCGCGTGCATCCGTTCTTACAGTGGGCCTCCCCAGTTCGTGGGTGAGGTCACCAGTACGCAGGGTCCAGTCCTGTCTCAGGCCATATCCTAGGTTCTTTCTACCACCCTTCCTGGCCTCCCCCAGTCACCACACACGGTCCCGAGGGAGAAACCCAGGTCCTAGGGTACAGCTGCAGAAGGGACACTGCAGTTGCTGGCTCACTGGCACCCCTGCCTCTCAGCACGACCCCTGCCCCCAGCCCCGTACCCATGCTCCCTCAGGCCTGTCCGGCACCCCCAAAATGCCGCCCATGTCCAGCCAGGCTGTACTCACCAGGAAAGGGTGGGCGCCGACTTCATTACAGTGGGGTGTGACTGGCTGATAAATGGCTGACTGCTCCATTTTGGAGATGTGACTTTATAATCAAGGGCTCCGAGAACCTAGGGCTTTATGAGCCCTGGCAGCACATCAAAGGGTCTTCCCAGGGATCCCCTCAAGTTACAGCCATGTATCGCCAGCATGTGCTGCTCAAAGCCAGGGCAAAATTCTGTGGGTACTGCAGTCAGCCTAGGAGTTCACACTTGGCTCACACTCCCCTGCACAGAATTCCTGTCTGAGAAATGTGCCGGGGGCAGGAGGAGGCTGGCGTCTGAGTGCCCAGTGCACTGGAGATCGGACAGCTCCCTCCCTCCAGACGTGAATGTCACAGACCAAGTACCCCAGACCCTCCCTGAAAGAGCCCCACAGCAGCCCCTCTGCTCTTCAGCTCTGCCCTCGGGTTGACCAGCTGGTGCACTTGCTCATTAAAGTCTCAGATCCGGGGCTGGACCCAGAGATTTCCCAGAATTCCTAGGACCACGCTCCCAGCTGGGGAAGCAGACCCAGGCTCCACCTCGCCTCAGAGTGACGCCACCATGTCTCCCAGCATGGCCGTCCCAGGGCCACCAGAGCCGGAAACAGGTCCTCGGACAATCTCCGTTTAGAGATCTCAAGAATTTGGCACGACTCTGGAGTTATTTGAGGGCCACTTAGTCAACATTTCATTACTCAGGCTGCGCTACTTCTCCCTCTGCCTTGGCTCTCCGACCCTTCGGGAACAAACCAAGAACAAAAAGGACTTTTCAGTGAAGTCATACGCTCTGTCCCTGCTCTGCCCTTGGAACCCGTCTTCTAAGGCCGGGGGTCCTTCCGCTGATGCCTGTCCTGTTTGGTGCTCCAGCCTGGGCACAAGGATGTTTT